GTGTGTGTGTGTGTGTGTGTGTGCGTGTGTGCATATATGTGTGTGTGTGCGTGTTGTTAATCTCTCAGCTTGCCTGGTCACCCCCTCCCGCCAGAGCGCGTGTGTCTATAATGAGCCGGGCCTCGCGCGCCTCTGGCGGTCAGCAGCTTTTAATCACCAGTGCTGACCTGTGGAGACCTCTGCCTTTTCCTCTTTTCCCGCCCACCCTGGGCTCTGACGGCCCCGCCCACCCTGGGCTCTGACGGCCCCGCCCACCGTGGGCTCTGACGGCCCCGCCCACCACAGGCTCTGACGGCCCCGCCCACCACAGGCTCTGGTGGCCCCTCCCACCGTGGACTTTGTCAGCCCCGCCCCCTGCAGCTTGCCGGCAAAGTAAACATTTTAACTTCAGAAGGACATCTTGCTGGCTATTTCCTGCTGCGCTGTCTCAGTATTTACTTGCTCTCTTCTTCCTCTTCCTCACAATAAATTGTGATTTCATCATTCTTAGATGTGTTAGACCGTATTTGTGCTTGGATTTATATCGACTTTGGTGCCTGTGTTTTTATTCTGCACACTGTGCCGGCTCCTTTATAAAGTGCCGCTCCTCGTTTGCAGAGGTAATATCATTCTCTGCCTGTTCTTGTTGAGCCGGGCATTATGGTCTGCCTTTAAATCCCATCCTGCCATTAATGAACCACCATATATATTTATCACGCAGCTGCTGCAGTTTGCCCCGCAGCTCTGCGCAGATAGCTGGCCCAGAGGCTCACATCACACCCTGCCACTCACGGTCCCTCCGGTGCTCCTTGAGATCTCAATGTTTGTAAGCCTGTCCGTTAGTGGCAAAAACGATGGCGATTTTGGGGGAGTCCATCCCCCCCCGTTTGCTGCTGGCCAGGCCTGAATGCAGCACCTTTTTACCTAAACGCCCAAAATCAAGCTCTGCAAAAGCATCTGCTTGACGCCTGTCATTTCTCCGCTCAGCGTGTCCTTAGACCACACATGAGTGGAAAATAGTGTTTGGTGTGTGTGTGTGAAATGCTCACCGTTTTCCGCATCTCGAGAGCTCTCTCAGAACACATTTTAAATGGCAGAAATATGGAGCCTCCCCCTGAGGCTGTACAAATTGACAGCGAGGGCCGGTTTCCGCTGTGCCCTCCGGTGTAATCTCCACTCGCCTTCACCCGCCACTGCCGCCTTGACTCTCCGCTTTAATAAGCCTGTTTTTGTTTATTTTCCTGCATTATTTACACCGAGTGAAAAGTGAAGGATGCCCGGGCGAATAAGAGGTGCGCTCTCGGCGAAGCTCGCATGCAAACACGCACATGTACGGCCTGACAGGTGAGCGGCCTGATTATTTCCTGAGCATGGCAGTGGGTCTCGGGGATGGGGGGCTTGATGGGTAATGCGAAAGGACAGCCACTATGCGTCATGATGAGGAGAGTAATAGCACTGTATACTGCCCCCCCCCCCCGACCCACCCATGGCTGCTTTATTGAGGGTCATGTCACATCTCCGAAATGCTGCGAAAATGTCATTTGCTGTCACCGTGTAATCTGGTGGGGGGGTTGGTCCAAAGGCAGTGGGCGTCACCCCTGTTGAGTGGCCTTGATTGGTGGGTGCCCTCGTTGGAAGCAGCTGTCAGCCTTTGCAGAAGGGTGGCGTGAAATGCAATGGATTGGTTTGGCGTATGATTTCGAAGATAATCGCCACGCGAACTCTGTAATGGCACTAGTTAATTATCAGTTTTTACAACAGTTTGCCCGCGAGTGTTTGTGTAATTCCTTTTTAATTGGACTGTAATGTCTCCTGATTATTCACGCCTGATTTTTCTGATTAAATTTGTGGAAGTCTGGCACGCCTCCATTGTCAAAAGGTCACTTTTTTTGTGACAGATGGGGGATGAAAGGATGCTTCTGAGTCTTGCTGTTTTGTTTCATCCTGACTTTGTGCATTAATGCTGTTTCTGCTTCTATTTTCTGTTTCTATTTCTTTTTTGTCTGTGTTTGTCTTTGTTTCTGTTGTTCGTATTAAAACTTCAGAGATCTGTCCTTAACAGTTTCAGTCATATATTGTGTTCTACTTTTACAGTTTGTTCACTCTATTTTGTCCTACAGTAATTGTTTCCTGAGAAGTTTTTTTCTCTCTTGGCGTGTTACAGGTTGGTGACGCTGGAAAACAGCCCCTCCATCACTCCCGAGCTCCTCAGAATCTTCCAGAACATGTCCGCCCTCCTTGGTACGCCTCTCTTCCGGGGTCCGCTCCCTCCCTGCTCTCGCGGTTTCACTCGGGTGGATGGCTCTTGCTGAGCTCCGGCGTCCGTGCTGCGGGGTGCAGGCGTGAGGAGAACTGCGGCCACTGCGGTCTGATGGATTGATATCATGATGGAGGCTCTGAATCTCCCCGCCTCTTCATTTTTGTTACTTTTCATTTCTGTATGTGTTCTGCTGGGTGCCTCTGGGATGGGGTCTGTTTTTGTGATGTGTGTTTTATCACGTTTCCAGCAGAACCTGGACCTCCGGTCCGGGTGCCGCAGGTTCAGCTTTGCCAGATGGTTGGCTAGATAAGCTGGCTGTGCCTCTCACACACAACGTTGGTTTATCTTTAGTTATTTCTCTCACATTTCTATGTGCATGTGAGAGGGCGTGGAGGTGGTCATGGGCATGTTGGTTGTTCCTCATTTCCTCGCTACATTGGCTTAAATTGATGGTCCGTGTTTAACCAGATGACTGTCGCCTGTGGCAGGATCTCAGATTGAGGCCATCATCTCTTTTGCTGCTGCATCCAGTTTCATTCGTCTGATTGGTTGTGTTTGTCCACACGGAGAGCAGGTCTTGGGATAGCCCCCACTGTCTCAGACAGGCTTCCGTCCTTGGTTTGAGAATTCGGGGACGGTTTTCTGTCTGCCGGCCAATTGGCGCTCGCATCTGATGGACCTTGACAACCTCGCGGGCCTTGCCGTCTCGCGCCGGGCCGCATCGAAAGACCTGTGTCTCGCCGTCGGCCTTTTTCCTCCCGCTCGCCGATCCCGGCAGGAAATGAAGTGTAAATCGTGCTGGTCTGCGTATCGGCGGCATCGAGCCCACCTGCAGCGCAATTTCCCCCTGAGAGGACTCGAGTGGCGAGGAGGAGCGAGAGGCCGCTGTGCTGGAATCCCAGCATGCCTTGGGGTTTGTGCAGATAATCACAGCAGTAATAACATCGGGCGAATGGCGACCATGGATGAGTGTGTGCAGTAGGACGCTGCCTTGAGAGACAAAGGAATTGAAAAGTCCTACTTCTGTAGTTATACTCAGGTGAGGGTGAATGCTCTGTTTTTGCCCGCTGGCTTTTTGGGGCCATGCTTGGCTGAGCCTCGGATTTTCCTGTTTGCGCACATTCACACGTGAACGACCTACACGTGAATCCTAAACCCTGAAGGATAATTCTCCATACCGCCATGCTAATGCTGTGCGTATTTTTCGATTCGCGCCCCTGCTCCGTGAGTCTGGAGTTTGCATGTTCCCCCTGATGTCTGGGATTCTCTTGGGGTTTCTCCAGCTTCCTCTCAGTCCTTTTTCTTTTTTAATTGCTGTTCCCTCATTTTCCGCAAACCTGCCGGGTGACATTACAGACAGGCACCCATCCGGCCGCCCCGGGGTCCTTTCCCGTATCTCTCTGAGAGGGGCAGTGGGTCAAGTGCAAGCCGGTGTCAGGTGACTTCTGAGAGGTGGCGCAGCCGAAGGCGCTGGCGCCACACAGCGTTAATAAACATGCCGCTGGCTCAGTGGCATTTCGGTGACAGAACGCTGTTTACCTTTCGGGGAGATTGATTGGACCCGTTTATCACTGAGGATATGGCGGCCAGCCCCTTCAGCAGTGCGTCCCTGTTCCCTACACCTCACACTCTTGGCACTATCTCTCTGTTCACTTGTGTGAGCTTGACTGCGGGGGGTGGGGAGGGGGGATTCTTAAAGACGGAGCGTAGTTATTTGTCCGCCGTAAAGTGTTTTCACAAGTGCCGCCTCATCAGCCTAATAACCCAAAGGCACACGCCAGCACGGCCTAACGGGCGTGAACGCTGAATTTTATTACGCTTCTGTAAAAACCTTATTAGCCGCTTCCTCACGCTTCCCATTAGGGGAGGGAGGCCTCCTTCCATGGGGAGGCAGTGGGGTGGGGGGCGACGTGGAGCCTTTCTGCGGAAGCCCCATCTCCCTCTCGCTCGCTGCAGTGATAAGGCTGTGATAGACGGACGGACAAAGGTACGAGCGGGAGTCTGGTGGAATGAAAGCCAGAAAGTTTCCTGTCCCGATTTCCAGGGGAGTGGTGCAGTGCTGTTGTACCCTAGGACGAAGTGAACATCGTACATGCTGCAGAGAGAGCAGGAGGAGCTGTTGAGCAGTGTAACCTCCGTCCTCATTGTGGATCTGATTTCCCAGCCTATGTGTGCAGAGCCTGTTACCTGAATTAGTTTCTGAATTAAGCTCAGCGTGCTGCTGGTCACCGCGTGACAAGCCCACCTCAGCACAGCCCTCTATTGGCTAAGCGCTTATGGAAGATGATGGATGGAACCTGGATGAAACTGCCCTCCAGAATTATTGGCATTTTTGGTTTTAAAAAAAGAGAAAAACGACTTTGAGAGAAATGTCTTTCTTATTTATTAGCTTGGTCTTATACTGAAATGAGCAGAGCAATCGATTCTTTCACTGAGATATAAATTTAATTGAAGAACAGAAATCCTCACAAACAAATATTGCCAGTAATTACTCATTGTAAGTTGTCTGGGGTGAAAGTGTTTTTAAAATGACCAGATGATTAATTAGGGGCTGGCAATCTAACGTCAGAAGGGCGTGACACGGACCTTTACCGGACAATGTCAGGCTGCTGGACTGCCCTGTCCTGTCCCGTTGGTGGCTTCTGCTTTTCGTATTTCAGTGTTTACGCCTATGAGGCTCAGATTCCTATCAGCAAAGAATAATGCTTTCTTTCTGCCAATGTGACAGACATCTGCAATCAGACTCTGGACATGAAGATTCTGTGCGGGACATTAAACCCACAATGAGCGACAGTGAGGAGTTGAACATGATTCTTTTAGCCTTGAAAAATTCTAGCAAAAGTGCGAGATCAGAAGGTGGAGAAAGGGGGGTGGGGTGGGGGTGAGTGATTTATTGTGCCTGGTCCTGTTCCTCATATCTCACTACAACCTGTGCTGAAGCCATCGGCCTGCTTGGAAATTGCAGTGCTGGTGTGTGTCTAGCTTGTGCCTCATTCATCAGCTCAGAGCAGCGTGGGTGTTGCCACCCCCCCCTTCCCCCACCCCCACGAAAAACCCACTGGTGCTCATTCATTTCTGAATGACAATGTAGTTAATATTCTGTTATTTAGTCATTAGTAATATTAGTGATTATTATAGAAGCATTAAAGAAACAATCAAACGGATGCCATTTAAGGAGCTCGTAATGAAAGTTAATAGGCATAACCCTATAAGCCTTTTCTCACCATCCTAAGACATGCGGTTCAGTTGAATTTATACCCAGTGTGTGCACGCATGTGTATGGCTGTATACACATATCCCCCTCCCCCCTCGCTGTAGCCGGCTCCCAGTAATTTTAATTACCGTGATTGAAAATTGATGGATAGAAGTGATTTGTCGGTGCCGCAGAAGGACTGAATTCAGTTACGAAAGGCTCCGAATGATTTAATTATGTAACCTCCGAGGCTGATTGACATCAATCGCAGTGCTTCCTCTCTCGTCGTCGTCGCGTCTTGTCCCATTGCTGCTGATCTGACTGCTGTACTGTCGGTCTCCTTCCCTTTTCCATGCAGTAATGTGCTTGGACAGTCGATTCCCCGACTGGCCATTGATAATTCATTTCCTGGGCCCTGTACCGCACGCCGGACCCCACACACGCTTCAGACTCAGCCGCCCTCTCAGTAGTGAGGGGGAGGGAGCTGAGGGCCCGTGTGTCGGCGGGATCGCGGTGGGCCAGGCTGCCACCACCGTAATCCCGCTGTCATGCTGATTTGGGGTCTCTCTGCTCAGGCCAAAGGGTCACCCTGTTAGGAAGGTACGGGGCAATAAAATACCATCAAAGTACAATGAGTCCTTAGCTTCTGTTTCCTCCTGTACGCTTGGACAGATCCGTCCGTCAGTCCATTTATCAGTTTTCCATACCCGTGCAGACAGGTTGAGCTGCATAATCTCTAAGAGGTTACCCAGGACCCAGCTCTGGAGAATTTATGGCTTCTGCTTGATCATATTTCTCCCTCAGAAAGATAACAGAAAGGCCGCCACTGGGGTGATAAATGCAGCCGTTATTAAGGTCACCTGGTGCTTTTCCGGCGAGCCGAGGAAGCGGTGATTAAAATGCCGTGACCCATTCATGCTGCTGCACCCGCTGGCCGTCCATCGGCTACTCAACATGCTCGTGGGAGGCTGCCGGGAAAGCAGGCAGAGTGGGCATCTGGGTGGGCATCAGGGTGTACTGGAATAAAGCAGCCGTCCATCTGCCCATCTTTCAACCGTCTCATTAGTACGGGGTCAGAGTGAGCTTTGGAGCCTGTCCCAGGCGGCACAGGGCAGGAGACACCTGCAGGACGAGGGTTTGAAACCCACCTCGGGGCTGTTCTCCCCGCTATCAGGTTTTTCTTCAGGTAACCTGGATGCTACATTCGAGTCTACTGCTTCATCAAGGCCGAAGCAATCAAAGACAGATTGCCTTGGCTGATTTTAATCGAACATGTGAGAACCTGCCTTGTATTCGGTAATTTTCCCCAGCTGTGATGGCGTGCACCTTAGCCCTGAAGGGCAAGCATTGTGAGCAGACCAATGAGAAAATCATCTGACTGAAATCACATGGGTGGCAGTGAATTGACCGCAGGGGCAGGCAGGTGGATATTTTACAGGCCTACAGGCCTGGCAATTTCAGTGCTTGATTGTAAATTTAAATGACATCCAGTAAATGGATGGTTAATCTATGAGCTCACGTATCCAGCCCCCCCCCCCCCCCACACTTTTGTATTAGCACATACATGCTCACTACGCTACGCCATAACGCATGGTGTGATTGAGTCCTGGTTGTGGAGGTCGGTAATACACAATCTTTTATGCCTTGGTCAGTTTCCATCGATTTTTAGTCAAGCCCAGTTTTATTTCAGCCTGTTTTTCTCCTGGCTTTTGCTGCATTGAGCCTTTTCTCCAATACTATAAGTAAAATCCTAATCACTGGGGGGAATTTTCTTACAGGAAGTACTAT